TGATAAAGAGAAAAATTGAAGCATTTATCCTGCCTGTCCTATATAAACTGTGCCCCAGAGTAACAGCTAATGAGGTTCTTATTTATAGAAATATTCCAGCTAATAAATGCAGAAGAAATGTTTGTATTTTTTAAAAAATCACTATTTTGCAATTCCATAATGAAATAACAGATGTAGGCAACAATTACTAGTTACAGGGTGATGGAGATCTTTATAATGGGCCATAAGCTGGCATCATCTGAACCCACTGATCAATCTTAGCATCAATCAAAATCAAAATATGATATACAGATGTAATGCACCTCATAATATGATGCAATACGAAGTAAATAGCATCATCTATCAGGTATCCTTGTTTAAAAATTGCCACAGAATCTAATCAAACCTCTAGATCTATCTATTGGTCCATAGGGAACAGAAGAGCAAATTAAACAATGTAAGGAAGCAATTGGCCAAATGCAGAGTGCAGGATAGTCTACAGAAAACAAGAGCCAGTTTCTTCAACCAATTGGTGACTTTAAAAAGGGAAGATGGGCTATTATGACATAAGAGAGACTTAAGACACCTGTTAACCAAGTGCAATGGGTGGATCTTGTTTGGATCCCACTCTGAACAAACCAAGTGTAAAAAGACATTGAGTAAATGTGAATATGGACTGAAAATTAAGGAATTACGTTAATTTTGTTGAATGTGATGATGGCATAGTGGTTATGTGTATTTCCTAACATCCTTATCAGTTATAGTTGCATACTAAAGTAATTACTGTGAAATTTTCTTTAATATCCTCCAACCAGATGAAAAGAAGAAAATGATTAGAGGCCAGATGAAATAAGAATGGCAAAATGATAACTGTTGAAGCTGGGTGATGGTACATAGGAATACATTATATTATTCTCTCATGTATGTCTGAGCATTTTTATAATAAAAAGTTTTTTAAAATTCTGGACTAGGAATATGTGCTCTAGATTCCATTCTGATTTGCCCTTAATTAGCTGTGTGATCCTGGCCAAGCCACTTCATTACAGTACATCAGCTCTCTTTTATTAACACAGAAATAATAACTAGTTAAAATTTATCATGTCTACCATATGCCTAGGATTATACCAAGTAGGACAAAGGAACAAAAGAACTAAACATAAACTACCTATTTTCATGATGTCAGGGTGGGAGAGGGGGGACAGGAAGGAAACAGGGCTTTTGAAAATGTAGCTCATAAAGAAGAAAATTATCACTTCTAATCTCACCATACAGAAATAATTAAGATCTTAGTGTATATTTATATACCTTCCATTTTTCTATGAATATATATATGTATCGCATACACACACACACACACACATCAAAACAAAATTTGGGCTATACTTTATGTGTCCTTTTGTGGCATGGTTTTTTTGTTGCTGTTTTTCCTGTGTGTACTATTAAATCTTTTGGGTAATCACACTTAAGTATATCAAAACTTCACATATATGTAAACATGACCTAGTTTAGTTTTTCTTCCCACAACTGTCTCATTAGCTATAATCAGCCCTTTAATGAGTATGTAACCAAATGTGCCAAAGGAATGGTCATCTCTGGTTTGAAGTGTGGCAGCTGGTCTTCTGGTTTCCAGTTTTACCCTCATCTAATCCATCCTTCACACAAACACGAAGTGATCTTCCTGAAATAGTCCTATGTCACTCCTCTGCTCAAAAACCTTCAAGGCAAGAGGCTATGTACTGTATGATTCCATTTATATGACATTCTCAAAAAGATGAAACTATAGGGACAGAAAACAGATCAGTGGTTGCCAGGGGTTATGGGTAGGGGGAGTGTGCGACTATAAAGGGGTGGTATGAGGGAATTCTATGGGGGTATTAGAACTGTTCTGTGTCCCAATTTAGTGGTGGTTACACACATCTCTACACCTGTTAAAATTTATAGAACTGTACATTACCCCAGAACGTCAGTTTTTCTGTATGATTTTTAGAGCCTTCAATGATTCCCCATTGCTTACAGGCTCAAATTCAGGATTCTTAGCCAATACATGTAAGGCTCTCCATGGTTCCCCCATGTTCCAGTCTACCATTCTAACATAATTTCTCAGAGCTTCACCCCTATATGAGTTGCTGTTCAGTGAACACATATGTCATGGACATTGATACCTCTGTATCTTTGCCTATAATGTTCTCTCAGCTAAAATGCACCCACACCCACCACCAGTGGCAAACCCACATACCCTTCAAGATTTAGTTCAAATCTCACATCCTCTGGTGACCTCTCAGCTCCTGAATCAGAACTGAATCTTTCCTCAATGATTCCACAGCACTCTGCTTATACCCCATTGCCTGACACTGCTAGGCATTATAGGGAAAGCCCAAGCAAAAGCAGGCTCCAATGATTAGGCAATAAAACCCCAAACCTCATTCAGAAGCATTCACATAGCGCTAAGCACTTGCTTTCCTTCCTTCCATTCCTGTCTTGATAGCCACCTCCCTACTGCTTTTCAGGTCAGGCTACACCAGTAGATTTCAAACTTGTCTGTTTTCACCTCCCTATCCTTCAACTAAAAAGTTCCTGGTTTTCTGCTTTGGTGCTGAATTCCTGGCTTGGCCCCCTAAGCACATAATTCTTGCATACTATTCCCAGGGATGGTCTAGTTTACTAACTTGGCTATGCCTGTTCAGTCCCACTCTCCAGGCTGGAAGACAAGGGAGATTGCCTGGCACATGTGAGTACCTGGGGTTGAGGCTGGCAGGAGGAATGCCTTATTGGCAAATGAGCTGATCCAACAGGAAAGAGCAAATTGGAGAGTCAAGTGAGGCAGGCAGAGATTGGTAAACTAGAGAAGCAGAGAGCCAAAGGGTCAGGAAATCAAGGAGGGACTGGAGCCCAAAGCCAAAAATATGATGAGCACATGGAGGGCAGGGAACCACAGAGAGCAGGCTAAGCCATACGCTAATGTGGGTAAATCTAAGAGATAGGGCCCTTTGCCTGTTCCCTTCTGTGTTCTGTGGATACACCTGCCCTATTTAATGAGCCAATGACGAGTCTAAAACACCCACTGACTTCAGTGCTACCTAGTCCAGCCTATGGGACCCAACTTCTCTGGGAGGCAGTGTAATAGAAAGGGAAGAATATGAGCTTAGGAATCAGAAAAGCCAGATTTTTAAATTCTGGTTCTTTCCCTTATTTGCTGAGTGACTGTGGGCAACTCACTCTCAGCTTCACCTTCAGCATCTGACAAATGGAGAAAGCTAGCATCTATCTTAGAGGATCATTGTGGTGGGGAAATGATGTAAATGATCCCACACGGACCTCAGTAACTCATAAACACTCAATAGATAATAGCCCACTTCCTTCAAGGGCATCTATTACACTTTGCCTTGTATGTTGAGTTAGTTGTATGCAGTATCTCTCTCTCCAACCAGATCTTAAACTTGAGAGCAGACACTGTGTGAATCATTTCTTACATTTCCTTTTTAAAGTAATGCATTTTTCTGATTATAAATACCACAGAAAACTTATATACTATAGAAAACATAACATTACAAACTACTTAACACAGAAGGAATCCTCAATAACCCCCTCCCCACTCCACTTCCCCAAACAGAACTGCTGTAGAGTTTGAAGCATCTTCCTCCAGTTTTCCCCGCCACCACAATTTTTTTAGGTTTCATACCAATAGTGAGCATGTTGTCGAAGTTTAATTTTAACTCGTGAAGGAGGAAACCAGAATGATGACAGAGTTAACTCAAAAGAGGATATGAAAACTGGTATTTTATATATAGTCAGTTAAAAAACAAAGGAATGCTAAAATAGTATTGCTAAGTTAGAATCAAAGCTGCTTAATGTGCCATAGGGCAATAAGAACCGAAATCATGGTGTCTTCTTTAAGCAGATATAAAATATCCCTGCATCTTATCAGTTTTACAAAACCGTAAAATGACTGGACCCCAATCAGTTGTGCTAAACTACAGTTCTCCAGACCGAGAATCAGATAACCCTCAGGCCTGTTAGCAAATGCACTTAAAGTGACATAAGGGCATCAAGGAACCATCCTTCCCCTTTGTATTAGTTTCCTAGTGCTGCTGTAATAAATTCTCACAAACTGGGTAGCTTAAGAAACACATTTATTTTCTTACAGTTGTAGAGGTCAGAAGTCCAAGATTAGCTTCACGGGACTGAAATTAAGGTATCAGCAGGGCCCTGGTGGTTCTGGAGACTATGGGAAAATTATTTGCCTGCTTTTCAGAGCTTCTAGAGCTCCATTTCTTGGTTGTGGCCCCTTCCTCTGTCTTTCAGGCCAACAGTGTAACATCTTTAAGCATATCTACCCCGGCCTTCCCATCACCTTCTCTCTTGTAAGGATTTTCACGATTACATTTAGCATGCCTGGGTAATCCAGGGTAATCTCCCTATATCAAGGTCAACTGATTAGCCATCCCACTTTCCCACTTTATTCCCCCTTGCCATGTAGCATAACATATTCACAGGTTCTGATGATTATGGCATGGAGATGTTGGGGGCAGGTGCATTATTCTTATCATACCCTTGTTCCAAATTTTGAATAATTCTTCATAAACTCATCCTACCCATTTTGTTCTTCAACTTGCTTTTCTCACCAGTCTTTTCATTCAGCACATGCTGCATACCTCTATCCCATTCTTAATGGATGGACAGTATTCCAATTATGGAATTGCCAGAATTCACTCATTTCCTTATAGATGGAACTTTAAAATGTTACACCATTAGAGTATGGAAACGAACATCCCTGTACATATCTCTTTGCACAATCATGGCTATGTTCTCATAGAAAAATTCCTAGAAGTTAAAATTCTGAGACAAAAAGTATGCCCACTTAACTTTGACAAATACTAACAAACTACCTTCCAAAAATTTGTGCCAATATTTTATTCTCATACCATCATGTATGAAAGTGCCTGTTTATCCCCAACATCATTTACATTTGATATTTGGGATTCACTTTTGAGTCATTCAGTACTTTGAGATATCCACACAGGTTTTTCTGGCACCAGTAAGAGTTTTAATAACTGTTTCATGAATAGAAGGTTAGAACAACGCAAATCCATGTGTACAACTCAGAGGGCTTGTCCTAACAATGATACAATATTCACAAAGCTAATGTATGTAAAAGTGCATTTACTATTATACAGTGCTATTCAAATATTATGTTCACACACAGAAAAGTATTATTTTCAACTTAGTTCTCTCCTGTCACACAGGTTGGCCTTGCTGCTTCCCAGTTTCACATTGTATTTCCTCTGTTGCCAAGACTGATAACATACTTTCATGGTGGCCCCTGGAGGCTCTAAGGTCTAAAGTGTGTGACTGATAATGCCAGTCCTTTGGTAGGAAAGGTATAAGATTATGGGTCTTTGTGCCCCCTGAAGATAGTAATAAGGCCCAATAGCAAAGCCTCAGAGAACGAGGGTCTTGACTCATGGGTAGGTAAAGATTTTGGAGGGTCTGGAGTCAACTGATTTTGTACTAAAGGACTTCTCAGAGACAGAGCCCCATGGGTTTAGATGAAATGTCCTGGTAAGGACCCTGCCTTACAGCTGCCCACCCTGTCCCCACCCTGGGAAGTAGCAATCAACTCTGTAATGAAAAGGAGCATGACATTGTGAGATGCAGGTGTGAGGCAGCAAGCTGGAAGAGCTCTGAAGGTTGATTTAGGTTCTCAGGACTATTATAGCTGGGGGAGTGCAGTATTCTCCACTGACCACCTCCTATGGTGTGTTCCAGAACTAGGAATCAGCTTCTCAGTGGGAGCAAGGGCAGTGTTGGCAAGAAGTATAAGAGAATGGGCTTCAGCAGTGCCATGCTCTGACTGCCTGTTTCTCAGGGGAAGAATTCATACAAACCTGAGTAGGAAACACGCCCTCCAGTTTTATTCCCATGACCAGGGTCTGGAAGGTATGTGTTTAAAAACATATAGGAGACAAAATCCTGAAAGTAGAATGGGAAATGAGTCCCTTCCCCATCCTCCCCCACCAAACCTCCGCTCACAGTACCAACCTACAAGTACATGTGAACACACTCAGTTCTCATCCCAGGCCTTTTAGTACATGACCCTTCTCTCTCTCTCTCTCTCTCTCTCTCTCTCTCTCTCTCTCGTGAACTGAGGGTTGCCCCTTGATAAGGAGTGTTTGTGAGAAACAATGCTTAATGTGGTCCCAGCCATAGTCCAGAAAATATCCCTGAAACCACTAATATATTAAAATAATTTCACGAAGGACCTACGAAGACTTAGAGGCTTGTGTCCTGATTAAGAGGGTAAACTCTGGAGCCAGAGTGTCTAAGACTGAGTTCTGGCTTTATATTAGCTCTGACCCTGGGCAGGTCACTTCATTTTCCTGTGCCTTAGTACCTTCATCTGTAAAATGGGGGATTATAACCTTACCTCACAAGAGTTGGATTACCTACCTCATAAGGGTTATTCTGCAGACTGAATGAAACAATGCACATAAAAGCACTGTGCCAGACATACAGTAAGTGCTCATAAATATCAATTATTAATTCTCCTACAGTGCCTCACAGTTCTATGCCCTGAGTTTTTGAAGCATTTGTGGAGCAAATAAAATTGACAACTATTAGTTTAATGCATTTTCTTAACAAGTTCATTAGCCTATACTTAGCCTACCAAATTTCTAATAACATGAGAATAGCTGTTATTACAATGGCCTATCTCACTTCCCCAAACTTCATGGTTCTGCCTTCCTCTTCCATGACCCATTTAGTGGCCCCATTTCTGCCTCTTCTTCCACTAAGACTTACCCAGACACAAGTTACTTTAAGATATCACAGACTAAAAAGAGAGTAGTCAATTAAAGAAAAGGCCAAGGGGCACTTTCTCTGCCCCACCACCATATTTTACAATTCCTCCTTCTCCTGTGTATCTGGAAAATTGCTGTGGTTCAGAAAGGCCAGCACCTATAGGAGCTTCTGAGGGTTCATTTGCATAATGTATCACTAGACTTTCTTCTCCTTGGGTAAGGTTAGCAGGCTTTTCAGGTTGGAAGCTGTTCCACACCCCTTGCCCTAAATTCCCTGCATTCCAGACACATTAAGTCACTAAAGCTGGGGAGCATATATAGGGGAAAATATGCCTTGTCCAGTACCAAGGCACACTTTTCTGCCCTGTGTATCTCTATTCTATCTCTAATTACCCCGTCTGGCTCAGTGTGTGTCTCTATGTTCCCATACCACCCACTCCTTAAGTAGCTGATTCACATGACTTTTATGGACCAAATTACAGTCCTGCATGCTTCTGCTTTTTATGGGGGCATATTAACCAGTGAGGAGAAATTCTTGCTTGAATTCCAAAGACATAGCTTGTTCTTCTGGAGGTCTGAAAAATTATTTCTTTCAAATTCATGTTGAATAACACAGAAAACAACAGTGTGAAGTTTCTGACGACAACCTAAGTCTCTTCATTATGAAAGACAGAATGAGGGAGCTAGGCTGAAAAAGGAGATTTCCACTGCTCCGAAGTAAGTCACTTCACTCTCCCTCAAATTAAGTATCCAATCCTTTTAGTCCCAAACAGTGGTTGAAGGGGGGAAACCCACACTAGACATGGCAGGAAATAGGACAATTCTGGCTAAGAGCCCTGCTACTTAGAAGAGGGAGCTCCCCCAACTTAATGTCCCAACACTGGGTAAGAGGCAGAGAAATGGCTAAATTCTCAGCACCATCCCAAGAGTAAAATTGGATGGGGATAAGAAGCCCTAGGTCAGAGTGTTCACAATTCCTCACAGCAGTGTGGTGGCTGCAACTGGTACACACTACTAGGAGCTGTTCTCATTTCCTAGTCTGTGCGGAGCAAGCAGCAGTCAGGTGAATGCTGGATTACTTGGTCCCGACAGGCATATGGCCATAGTAACCTCAAGTCTTTGGTTACCTTAGAGGCATCCAGCAGATATCCCTATCAAAACACCCAACTGATGTGAGATGTAAACATTGAGATATATGAGAAAGAGAGACCTGCATTCATCTTCTGGGGGTGTGGGGATGAGCAGAGGGCTGATAAACATAAGCTCCTTACTAGGAAATAAAATCCTGTGAGCAGAAACCAGGACCAACAATGATTTAATGTGATGTGGTTTCCCTCCTTTGCCTTCTCTCTACCATGGAGTGTTAGCCACCGTCCCAACCCCAAACAACATGAAGGTGATGTCCCGGCAATTACTACCTCTCTCTCCCCTAAGGAAACAAATCAACAAAATACGCAGGACACTAGGAGACACAAGGCAATCTTCCTTTCTTCTACACATTAGAAACATTTTCAATTATAGCTCAGCTTCTCTGAGGTTCACATCAAGTAGTACAACATGAAGAGCACACAAAAGCCAGGGTAGGGGGAATCCCTGATATGAGGCACAAAGTAAAAGATTTTACTCAACCACTCCACTCAACAAGCTGGAGGTTCATACAGGTCCCTGAGAAAAAGTCTTTCTGGCTTATGCCCTGAAAGAATCCTACTCTGCACTTCCTCCTCAAGGTGTGCCTATCTATGAAGGGCCACTGAAAAGAAAGGCCCCTTGAATGAATGATTACTCGTAAAATCCTGATGGAGAGCTAACTCTTTTGGGGAAAAGCTCTTTTATGGTGGGGGTTTTCCTATTAACCAGAGTTTCTCATTGGAATTAAAAGACCCCAGAACACTTAGAGTTATAGGTTCCATATTAGTCAGACTGTTTACTGGGAGGTACCCACAGCTAGTAATCAGTCATATCCTTGGGTCAGGATATATTCTGGTGGGATTCTGGCCCTTCAGCTCAGCCTGGGGGAGGTTCAGTAATGCCTTAAGCAAACAAGCAGAGCTAGAAGGTCACAGAGAATCCCATAGGGTAGGCAGAAAGCTGGCTTTGGTGGGAGGAATGTGAATGGTCTCTCTGACTTTTCTGAGTATATAGTGGCTACCCTGGTGTTCAAACATAACAGTCAATTTGATGGAAATAAAGCCTATTTGGGAGCTGCTCTTTCATCTGACAGGCTTACCAGAAAAGTCAAGAAAATATCCTGGTGAGTACTCACCAGTGAGCCTCATACCTCTCCTTCAATTTCACAGTTGCTCTTGACAATATGCAACCCATCCCCAAATAGCCAGAAGACAGAATCAGACAATGCTTTGCCTTGCTTCAGCATCAAAAGATGGCTCCATATTCTCAACCCTGCCCCGAGGGTGCCGATGGCAACAGACACAGTGTAGGTAGTCCACTACATTGTGGGTGAAGAGTGAGCGTAATGGATGCAAATACTGGAAGAAAAGGAGCATGAAGCCAATGGAAATCAGATAAACAATGATGAGCTGCAAGGCAATCAAGGAATGACAATAATTCAGTAACACTTTGACTCCAAAGAACTTAAAAACCAATACCATGATCACATTCTCTACCAATCTCACACTATAGTGCAGGCCCATATGTCCCCAGTTTTGACCTTTTTCAACAAGGTCCCTATCTGCCAATTTCAACTGCAAAGCTGACCAGCAAGAGAAGTTGATGCCAGCATAGAGGACAGTAACAGAGATCAGCACCACCAGGGTGCCGACCCGGCTGAAATTTTTCTCAATGTTATTGGGCATTTGAGCACTGCTCCTCCAGAATTTGACCCAAGGCTCAAAGAGGATGATCAGGAAGTTGAGCAATAGAAAGGGCACAGCCTTCAATTTCAAGGTGGCTGAGAAGAGCACCAGGATCACAAGGCGAGAAGTTATCTCCAATGTGCGCCAGATGGTGATGCAGAGGACTTCTAGGGGCCCAAGGCGAATCTTGTATTCATCGTACTTGATCTGGATAGCCAACATATTGCAGAGGGTAGCCCCATAGGTGACAGATATCAGGGAAAAGACCATTAGCACAGCTGTAAGTAAAAACAAAAATAAGAAACAGAAAAAATTGACAGTCAGTCAGTGTTGCTGAAGCTTGTACTCTTACCCAGAGGTCCAGAGAGATGATAGGGGAGACTTGAGGTTCCCAGTTAAGAGCAAACTCATGTATAAACACAGCTATGTAAACAAATAGCATGTACAGAAAGAAAATGGAAAGAAGCTAAAATATAGCTTTTTTTGTGATAGGGATTATACTAATTTTTAAACCTTTTTCTATGTTCCTCTATTTTCTAAATTTCCCATGATGAATATACACTGTGATATTTTAGTGATCATGTAGAAAATGGACTTTTTACAAAAACAGGTCTCAGAACTAGCTGTGAGAGATCACTAACACAAGAACAGTGCAAAGAGATAGGGCAGCATCTACATGATGAAACAGGCTTCTGAGCAAACAATGAAGCAGGAAGAACTCCTACCTAAAAAATCCTGTCTTAGGAGAATCATAGAGAATGACTTTGGTTTTGGAAGTCCCTTCACAGATGTATCTTCTCCGAGGAACTAATCTTGTTTGTGTGTGCTTCTAGAATGTGTCAAAATGTATATACTTGAAACACCATGAGGGCAGAAGGGACCGTGTCTGTTTTGTTCACTGCTCCCTCTCCAGAGCCTAAC